ATTATTGCTATTATTTAAAAAAGTAAATAATAGTAAATAGCTCTTAATCTAAAGTATTATAATTTAGCTTAATATCAGAGAACTTATAGAATTAGAATATAACTAAATAAAATATATTCTTAGTATTAGATTAGAATAGAATATTACTTATTTTTTTTTTAATATATTAATTTCTAAACAGCAGGATTTTATAAAATTAAAATATATTAATAAAAATACTTATTAAAAGATAATAATAAGGCAGCGGAAAGTAATTTATTTAATTAAGATTAGATAAATCTTTTCTGGCTTCTGCTTATTAATTATTTTATAAAATAAAGAAATAAAAGATAAGATAATATAAGAGTAGTCTTAAATAAATTATTAATAAAAATTATAGAATCTAAGAAAGATCTAAATATTATAATAATTTTTAAGAATTAGTTATAAAATAATATTATTTATCTATTAAGAATTTATAAATATTTTATTAGAGTTAATAATATATTCCAGAAATTCAACTTGAGATTAATAAAATAAATATTTTAATAATTTTATATAGAGCTGAGCTTCTCGAAGTCTCTTTAAAACTTAATAAATATATTTTATATAAGATTTTTTATCTGATAAAAAGATAAGAATATTATTTAGATATATTATATAAAAATTATTAAAAAATTCTTAAAGTATAGTATATATATAGTTTTGAAAAGTTGCTGAAGTATTAGTTAATTTAAATAATATAATTATATATTTAAAGTAGCTGTATTAAATACAAAACACTATTTTTTATTTATTATCTTTCTTAATATAGATTTAATAGTATATATTCTTAATATTAATTTTTAAAAAGTAGATACTTTCTGAAATTCTGTTAAAAATCTTTAAAATAAAAAATAAGAGATAATAATTCTTAATAGAAATCTTATTAAGATCTCTATAGTCTATATAAAAATATAAGTTATTATTTTTTTTAAATATAAAAAGAATAGAGGCTTCAGCAGGGCTCTTTAAAGATTAAATTTAATCTAGTTTTAGATTCTCTTTAATATATTCTTATAAAATCTTAAGTTCGGCTTCAGATAAAAAATATATTAAATTATAAAAAAATATTTTATTAGATTTAATATTAATAATATAATTTATAAAACTATAAGAAGATAGCTATTAAAAAAAATCTATAAAAAATATATCTTAGAACTGCTTAAGTTTAACAGAAATTATTTTAAAATTTAATAATAAATTATAAGATTCTTCTTCTGATAGCTAGATATCTTTAAAAAACTTAATAATAATATATACTCTTACTAAGTTTCAAGTTACTTTAGTAAATTAAATAATAGAAAACAGTAAAATAAATAATATATTAAATTATTACTAGCAGTTCTATACTAATAAAATAATATATAAATTATAAAATATAGTTATTAAAAATAGTATAAAACTATCTTTTAGTCGGGGGTTCTGATTAATCTCTATATAATACTATTTAAAAATATAAATATCTTCTCGCGAATTAATAGTAATAATAGAGACTTTCTATATATTATAAATAAAAATAATAATTTAATTAATAGCTTTAATCTTTAGCGCAGTAATCAAAATATATTAAAGATTATAAACTTTAATAAACTAATAATTAATAATATCTATTTTAGCGCAGCTATTTAGATTTATAAAGATTTTAAGACTGTTTTAGATATAAATAGAAATATAAAAATAATATATAATCTCTACTATAAATAAAAAAGTTAAAATTATAGAATCTATCTTAACTTCTCTACTTTTCTCTCTAAATTTAATAAGAATTAGTAGATTCTAATAGATTAAATTTTTTTATCTTTAATAAAGTATTAATTTATAAAATATTAAATACTTTTATATATAAAGTATTATAATTAATTGCTATTCTTTCTAATAGAATTTTTTCTATAATTTAAAATATCTTTCTTAATAATTTTACTAGTAATTTCTTAGAAGCACTTGTGTGGCTTATAATTATTAAATTAATTATTATTTTACTTGTATTTTTCTCTATTTTCTTATAATTTATAATAATAAATAATAATAATCACTATTTTGTTCTGCTTCTCTGATAGATAGAGAATATACTCTTAAATATAATAATTTAGATTTAATAATAGCTTAGCAAAGTAGAATAAAACTTTTTTTTTTTTTACTTAATAAAAAAAGTATTGCTTTAAGATATTAAGATAAGTATAAGATTCTCGCGGATTCTGACTGTATTACTAATAAATCTATTTAAATTAGACTATAATATCTGATTAAAGAATAACAATATTCTAAATTAATATAAGAGTTTAATCTTTAAATTAAGACTATAATTTCTTAAGAAATTGTCTCTCTTTTAAATTCTTATTATTTATAAAATAATATTATCTCTGTTTATATACTGAATTTATATAACTAATAACAGCAAGAATCTTATATTTTTTTAATAAATATTTCTTAGATATATTTCTGAATATATATTCTAAATTAATAATTTATTTTTAATATTTTTGGAGATTAAAGTTCAGAGCAAAGTAAGAAATATCTTTAAACTTAATCTCTTTCTTATTCTTTTCTAATTCAAGAGAGAATTAATAGTATCTTAAGAAGATTTTACTTAAGAAATTATTTCTTTAAAAATAAGCTATTCTTCACTGTAAGTTGATAGCTTATTTTAATTAATAAATATAATCTTCTAGCTGTTAAATCTCTTTAATAATAAAAATAATATTTAATAAGAATTCTGAATTAATTTAATCGCTGAGTGCTTTTATTTTTTTATTATCTTTAATAAATAATATCTTTCTTAGATAGTTAAAAAGAGAAGAATTAGAATATAATAAAATCTATTTATCAGAATAGAAAGTCTATTAACTAGATAAGAAATTAATTATAAAATACTATATATTTATTTAATAATAATAAAGATAGTCTATATTTATAAGATAGACTGATTCTTAAAAAATCAGTAGCTCTTTATAAAGAGATTAATATCTTATAAATATTAAAAAGATATAGAATTATTATTAATAATCTTATAACTCTCATAATCACTATAACACATCATCCCAATAACACAACTCTCACAACCACTATAATATGTCATCCTAATAATCTTTATCCCAATAGCTGGGTTATTCTATCACAAGTCTTTTATATAAGATATAGACTATATAAATAATTAATAACTCTTTTTAATTTTATTAATATCTTAAATAACTTTCAAAAGTTTATTATTAACTAAGTTTTAAAAGAATATCTTTATAAGTTCTATTTAATTTATATAAATAATATATTTATATACTTAAACAGCTTTTTAAAAAAATATTAACAATATATATAAAATTCTTTTATTACAAAATTATATCTAAATATTAAAAAATATAAATTTAAAAAAATTTATCTTTTAAAAGAAGTTTATATAAATTATTAATTAATTTATAATTATTAATTTTCTAATTATATCCAATCTTTCTAATCTATAGTTAAGATTAATCAAAATAATCTTTTAATTATAATCTATTCTTAATTATATAATAAAAAGAATTCTTATATCTTAATCTAATTATTAAATTATAGTTAAGATTAGATTAAGATATAATAATTAGATATAACCACTCTAATATAATTAAAAAATCTTTTTAATTAATTAAATTTATTAGCTGTTATAATTTTAACACTTTAAATAATTTTATATAAATCTTTTATAGATATTTTTAAATATCTCTAATATATTTAAAGTTTTTCAAAAATAAAATTTTATTTTATTTCATCTTATCTAAATAATTATAGATATTTTTATATTAATTTTTTATTAATTAAAACTAAATCTAAGAAATTTTATCTAGATCTTGAATAAAATTTAATTATATTTTTTAATACTTTATTATGTATATTATATTTTTACTTATGATAATATTAAACAAAATTAATAATAAATATCTTTTTTAATTAATTTATTAATTTAAAAAATTTTTATTATTAATTTTGAATATATAATTAAAATATTTTAATAATTTAAGATTATTTATTAAAAATATGTTAATTAATGATATTCACAGAATTAATTCAAGAATTAGATATATAAATAAAAAATTAGATAATTTATATAGAATATTAAGCTAATATAAATTTTATAAAATAAAAATAATATTTCTTAAAATTATAATATTAATAATATAGATACTTAAGAATTTCTATCTAATAACTACTAATAAATTCTTTTTAAGAACTTATTAAAATATATACTTACTTAGTCAGAGATAGAATAATTATATTCTATTCTTAGTAAGCCGGAGATGGAATAACTATGTTTTATCTGTAAACCTAGCTGTATTATACCAGAGATCATGTAACTACACTAGAGTGGTTAACAGCCAGGATAGATTAATAATAATAATTAAGAAATTTAGATAAAAGTTAAAGTATTTAAAAAAATTAAAATAAATATATAATTATTATTTAATTAATAAATATAATCTAAACTAGATAATTATATAATTAATTCTTAAATTATATAATATATAGATATTACTATAAAATATTTAATAATTAAAAGTTATTATATAAAATAAGTCCAGAATTAATTAATTATATATTAAATATAGATTAGCTATATTTAATAATAATTAAAATATAATTAAATAAATATTAGATTTTTTTAAATCCAATTTTAGAACTTGTATTTTATAATTTATTTAGATCTAAATATACTTTTCAAGAGATTGGTTTTTAACCTGTATTTTAACTGTTAACCACTCTAAACTACACTTTGGGCCCTGGTAGATGCTATCATATGACTTGAAAGGCTTCAAATATGACTATCTAGGTAATAGGGGAGAGGTGGCAAGGTTTTCATCTTATTAAGCAGATTAGTCAGTTGTAATTGTTTTTCAGACAACTCCATAGTTGATTACTAGGGGTGGGCCGCTATACCCGATTTTGAATTGAAATGTTAATGGTAAATGACTGTTGCAGAAGGTCTCTATTACACCTGTCAAAACAGACATGACGCGTGCAAGTCTGTTAACTGAGGCTAACGCGATGACCCCTTCCCTCTCTGATTACTTTATTTTTTCTCTACTAAGTCCATAATTCTGCAATCTCTCCTGGAGCACACATAATTTTTTATCTATTATTGGTCAGTAGTAAATCGCCCCAGAAGGGATTTTCATACACCAAGTCTTCTGTCCTCTCGCATAGCAACTATCTTCGACAAGGAAAAAAGATACAGACGTGCTGTGATCACTGGTCCCTATTACCATTCACCCAGAAATTCAAAAATCTCAATATGCCGAGACCGCCTATGAAGCGTCATCGCTTGACGTCTAAGGCCCCGCTTGCGTTAGAAAAGGAACCTCAGCAGGGCTCCGAACAACATGATATAAACTGGGTGAAGGAACTCGAGACTCCAGCAAGCACCGGTCAGAATATCGAGATGCCTTCTCATCTGCATACTGGTGCTCAGGCCTCAGAAATTGTCCGGCAATCCCATCACCAAACACCTGTGGCTAGAGCTCAAGAATATGCGATTGAATCGTCGCCCGTGGGAGACAGAGGAGCTACAGGTAGCCGGCCGGCCACAAGAGCTCGCGGTTACTCATCCACTCTTTCTGTTGTCGGAAGAAAAGGCGATGCTTGCTCAAAGGTTCCAGGTACTCCCGCATTCGAAAGTTCGATGTTAAGTAATTTTAGAAGACGACCCCGGCAACCTAGCATCCTACAGATGATGCAGGCAGATGAAGGTTCCTCTGATCTTGATGATGATGTTTTCCTTGGCGGATTGAGCCCCGAAGATGAGTCTACGCCTTTGGATTCTTCGAAGGGTAAAGCACTTCTCATGAGACATGCTGCACCACCATCGCCTAGCCTTCCAGCATCATCGAGTGGCGGATCACGGAAGCGCAAAATGCCATTTGAGGAGTCACGAGCTCTACAGCTCCATGCGGAGGTTATGGAATATTCTCCCGCCATTTCATCTCGTTCGAGCCAGTGGCATTGCGAGCACAATGTGCCCGTGGATTCTTTCCGAGCCCCAGCATCACCTGAAGCATCGAGTCAAACTTTGGCGCCGCCTCTGAGTAGCAGCCCGCCTCTCAGCCCGACAAGTACGGTCTCTACTCCAGTTCCAGCACAACTCAAGCGTATAAATATGCCTGCCGAGCATGTAACCAGTAAGACGATAAACTTGCCGACCTCCACTCTTCAAGTCAGGCTTCTACCTCGAAGGAACAACACGAAGCGTAAACGCTTGCGTGCAAAGGAGCCCAAGGTTCCCAGTGACCCTACTGACAGTGATCGCTTGACCCCCGAGCAGGATGATGTACATTCTGTACCGACCAAAAGGCCATCCCGGAGTCGACGAGAGCACATACGCAAGAAGAAACCCGCAGGGAGTGTCTTGACTGCAGAGGAAACGCAAACGACAGCAGGCACTGCTGGAAGCCGGGTAATCGGCAATCAGAATCATGTTACACGTTCATCACATTCAAACGTTACCGCGGAGGCTTCTGGAACATGTGAGGAAGGACACCAAGCGATGACATACAGTCGAGATTCTTTGGAAACTACTGGTGTCGTGAATGAGATCCAATCCGGAGATGTGCCATCACCCTTGTCATCACTAGATTCAGAGGCGTTCAAGTCCGACTTGCAGTCGGAATCAAACCCGGAGGTTCCTTTTCTAAGCGAGGAGCTAAGGCTCCAGGCGAAAAAATTCGCGGATGTTGATAAGTGGCAACTTGATTTTGAAGATGTGATTCCTCCTGCCAGTCAAGGTAGTGATGTCTCCAGGTAGTCAAAATCCAATGCCAAATGCAATGCCAACAATCTACTGTGGACATCAATTTGGTCCAAAATGAACGGGTTATTTTAACTCTCACAAATTCGTGCTAGAAAGTCAATGGATGTGTTGGGATTATATGGCCGTCCAAGTGTAGTGTGTAGGTGGCGTGGTGCTGCTACCTGATAAGCAGCCTCCGGGCTATGATAGCCGGTAATTAATTGGCCTACCCCAGCCCCGCAACTTCTTGCCGTCTCCGGTATTCTACAACGATTCGATACAAGATTGTTCACAGCTTGCATTTCAGGATATCTCAGACATGACTACATTGGACTCTATTTTGGCAGGAAAGTATCCTGCCAAAGCCCATGCCCGTCGGGTTGCCGAGCGCCTTCAAGCGTCCGGCTATGGCCGGCGTGGGGTTATCTATCTCGAAGCGCAGAAGACTCGGCTCATCGAGGATAATGATGAGGCGATGCCCTTCAGGTATGATCATAGCAATTCCTTCTAGCTTCTTGATAGCCCAGGAGTTGACCGAATTTCATGGCCTAGACAACGCCGACCCTTTTTCTATCTATCAGGGTGCCCGCTGCCGGATTCATATCTTATCTACAACATCGGCAGTGATGAGTTGACACTGTTCATCCCACCAATTGACCCAGAGAATGTCATCTGGTCTGGCCTGCCGATGTCTGTAGCAGAAGCATTGCGGCTCTATGACGTTGACAACGTTATGCTTACGCCCGAGGTCAACGCCACTCTTGCCTCAATTGCTTCAGGTGATGGTGGCAAAGCAGTTGCTTTTGCAATTACAGGTCAGATATCTGAAGAAATAAAGCTACAGGGGTTCTTTGAAACCAACACTTCAATATTGAATGGGGTCATTGGAGACACACGGGTGGTTAAAGACGGGTATGAGATTGCACTTTTGAGGAAGGCGAATGATATTTCTGCCAAGGCGCATATTGCAGCCATCAAAGCTTCGCAAACCGCGGTGAACGAGCGCGAAATAGAGGCTGCTTTCATTGCAGCTTGCATTGCCAATGGCGCTCGGGATCAAGCGTATCACCCCATTGTTGCATGTGGCCAAAACGGGGCCACCCTCCATTACGGAGGAAATGATGCCGATTTGGCTGACCCAGTAACGAAACAGAAAAAACCAAGTGTTCTTATTGATGCTGGGGCGGAATATCGTACATACTGTGCTGATATTACCCGTGTTTTCCCTTTGGGTGGAAAGTTTACCTTGGAGGCACGCCAGGTCTACCAGATAGTCCTACAGATGCAGATGGAGACTATCGCAATGCTGAAGGAAGGGGTTCAATGGGAGGACGTCCATACGCATGCCCACCGTGTTGCAATCCAGGGCTTGCGTAAATTAGGGATTCTTCGAGGGCCGGAAGATGAATTGTTCGACAAGAGGATTAGTGTGGCCTTCTTTCCTCATGGTCTAGGACACTATTTGGGCATGGATACTCATGATACTGGTGGTAACCCTAATTATGGAGACAATGATTCGATGTTCAAGTATCTCCGTGTGAGGGGCTGTTTACCAGCAGGTTCGGTCATCACTGTTGAGCCAGGTGTAAGGCGATCTCTCCTTGCTTTCTTTAATCACAGTTGTGGTTTCCTTGCTAAATTCAGCCATAGATCTATTTTTGTCGCTTTATTATCAAACCGTTCCTCGAGTCCCATGAAACGAGCAAGTACATTGATACGGAAGTTCTCGAGAGGTATTGGAACGTCGGCGGTGTACGCATTGAGGACAATGTTCACATCACCAAACATGGCTATGAAAATCTGACCACAGCACCAAAGGCATTTGAGGAAGTGGAGGTTTTAGCCTCATCGAGATCAACCCATGCATGAAAACAATGTTTTTAGCCACTTTCATTCTTTGCACCTCCCGCCAGGCCCACAGCTTATACATACAAAAATTTCCGAATGTTGTTGTCTTGGTAAACTACGACAGATGCATAATGTTATTAGTTTATACGCAGTGGAATTTCTGGGAAATGAAAGCCTACTTCGTTCATAAGCCGTTTCCCAAAGCACAAATATTGCCTTCTTCAAAGTCAATGGCTTGAAGACAGAGCAAATTAAGGTAGTATAATACACTTATTATATGACAGCCAGGGAAGAGATGGTACAAATAAAAGCCGATCTCAACAAGGTAGTAAACGACGACGGGACATTGAAGGCGACGGATGACATGAGGTTTCGGGATGCTTTACTCAATTCCATAATTCGTCGGTATCACACGTCTCTGAACTTCAAGTTGCCCCCCCACATATTCAACCAAGTTTCAAAAGAGAAGTGATCTGCTACAGACCACTCCTAAGTCGTTTCCTCCCACTCCCTTTCACGGCAGACTCGGACTCTGCCTTATCCTGTGCGCGTTTCTCTTTCTGGTCGAGGACGAGACTGAGAACATCGAAGCAGAACTGGGGTACTTCAATACACAAGCTCCTGAACTCCTCTTCCGCTTCATGCCGCAAAACATGACTTCTCAGGGCCCAGAAAGTAGCCACGGGCTTCCGAATTGTCACATCATCAACAGGCGTATTGGTGTAGACAAAGCGCGCATATGCAATTTCTCCATGAGAGGTGCTGTTGATGCGGTGTATCTTTGAGTGCGCTAGTGTCTTGAGCGATGGGATCCCCAGTCTTTCCGCCAAGGTGTAGACTCGGGCGTGTTTTAACAATTGCTCTCCGCTATTATCTATCTCACCTATAACTGCTTCATGCTCGGTAGGCGACTCAGATTGGGAGGCCGAATAGTCGCGAGTGTACTGGAATTGGAGGAAGTAGCCGAAGGCTTCTACATTTTCATCCGGGAGCTCAATGCGCCGCTATCAAATGCTCAGTCCAACCGGCAGGAGTACAAGTCAAACTGATGTATCACTTACTAGACCCAATTCTTTGAAAGCTGCGACTTTTTCTGCGAGCGAGGGTGACTCCAAAAGCAAGCTTTGGTGTGCTGATAAGGTAGTTTTCGTGTCTCCAGTCCCAACGATGAGTTCCACAATCGGTGATGTTAGATAGCTGGCGAAGGTAAGCTGGAGATTCTTTTCATGAATCAAAGCAGAGAAATGAGGATTGAGGGTGGTTGATCAATGGCGGGAGGTGGAAATGGACCCTTACTCAAGGAACTGGAGGCCCGGGTTTCTTTTGGGGGGGACTATTTTCGTTTCTGGCTCAGTTGGGCGCGCGTCTGGGAGATCGATATCTTGGGTCGACTCTGTCCGATTTTCGATCACTGCGCCAAATATTGGGTTTATATTGGCTTTAGGACTGCTCGTGTTCTGTGGGGTTTGCCGGTCATTGTTCGCTGTGTTGACAACATTCTGAGTGTCTTCAGGCACTCCAACCTGCACCTGAGGCGCGTCCATGACGCAGGATTGTATCTAAGTATTCAAGATGAACGCAGACTGCAAACAAGGAGATTAGTCACTGTTGCTAGGGTGATAACAGGAGTCAGAAGATACAGTGCTTGGGCTCATCTAGCAAATGTACGGAGTATAGGAAGTAATAATAGCCAACGACTAAAAGGTGTGAGCTCGGAGTAGGGAGGTATCCTGGGAGCGGCACGCTAGAGATTACTGTAATGCATAATACAAATATGTTACAGTACTACTATTGGTACTTTTAGTTAGTGGGGAGCCGTTGCCGTGACTAATGCATTAGGGGGCAGTTGTTCCTTCCTTTCCTACCTTAGTATCCAAAGCCCACCTACAACACCTCTTCCCTTCCTTTCCTGTATCTAATGAACAACAGATCAATATTATCACATTCAGAAGCAAACTGATCCAGTAGGGATATATGACGTTGTGGATAAGTTGACGGTGCTGGTGATTACGTGCTGCTGACGCTACAGTAGCAGTCTGTACGAAGTAATAATAGTAACTACGGAGTACACGACATACTTACTTACCTACCTCGTAGGTACCTTTGATGATGCCGTGAGTAGCCGGTATACTTGACTCTATACACGGCATACAACCTGTCTATAGAAGATGTGCGGTCGGTCATGGGAATTGATGAAATACACCATACAAAGAGCATGGGTAGGTACTGTAGGTACTTAATAAGTAGGTAGCTTACCTACCTAAGTAAGTACAGGCATTAACAATGAAAAATACATCCCTACTCACGGGTAAGTTGCAGCTTTGGAACAAAAATGCTGTAATAGAAACGATAGTATTATCATCATTGTTTCCGCACGACCGTCGGGGTTGATAGCTAGTTACCAAGGCTAAAATCCCACTGTAACAGTGAGGCAAGAAACTGAAAAATATTCACCCCCCTTTACTAATTCATTCAGTCTCCCATCCAACTTGGGAGGAGCATGTACACAGTGTTCCTTTGGTCCTACTCTGGCAAACTAGCTTTCCTTGTTTGAAGGCCAGCGTTAATATTCTGATTCGAACCCCGCGGTCTATCTAGATCCACAGAAGTATGGCGACTGGCATCGCTCCCGCTAGGGATCCCAATACTCTGAGCAACTACACCACCTGGATTTGCACTCACACCACTGCCAATTTTGATATCATTTTCGACCAGAAAAGGCTCGTGGGGAGTGTTGTCCACAAGTTCAGATCAGCCACCGACTCAGTCTCTCAAGAAATCATCTTGGACTGTAATCATGTTGCAATCGGCGATGTCAAAATTGATGGCAAGCCATCTGACTGGGAGCTTCTTCCTCCTCTGGAACCGTATGGCACTGCACTGAAGATCAGACTTGAACAAGGTGTGAAATTAAATGACATAGTTGAAGTTGAGGTATGAACACCATTAAACACCTCTATCCTTGTTATCTCCTGGACTAATATCTTGGATGATCAGATCTCTGTGCAGACGACGGAAAAATGTACCGCACTTCAGTGGTTGACTCCAGCCCAGACATCCAATATGAAGCATCCATATATGTGTAAGAGAGCTTTCTTATTTCCCATATGTTATTGCGTGGAGTAAATGATCTAAATTAGTCGAGAATCCGGTCGACTCTAACTGATTACATTTAGTTTCCCAATGTCAGGCGATCCATGCACGATCCATATTCCCTTGTCAAGACACACCAGATGTCAAGTGTACCATCGACTTCAATATTACCTCCCCCCTTCCTGTGATTGCTAGTGGCCTCCCTGTCCGAGACTCACTAGGCGAGCCACTCTCTCACGGCAAAACTATATACCGGTTTCATCAACGTGTTCCGATCCCAAGCTATCTTTTTGCTCTGGCCAGTGGGTAAGCTTGCAACTGTCCATCGTTGGGATTCCATATGGACTGCCCTACTTACCAATGATAGTGATATATCCGAAGCTGCAATTGGCCCCAGGAGTGTTGTCGCAACTAGTCCTGACAAGCTTCGGGAATGTCAATGGGAGCTTGAAGCAGACACGGAAAAGTTTATCGGTGCCATCGAGGTCTGTAAACTATCAGTTGTAGCATGCCATTCCTGACAGCGAATTAGAAAATTGTTTACCCTTATGCTTGGGGCGAGTACAATGTCCTGATACTTCCACCGAGTTTTCCTTACGGGGGAATGGAAAACCCGATTTTCACGTTCGCTACACCTAGCATTATCTCCAAGGTCTGCGTCTAGACATCCCCGTAGGACAATTGGACTTTGACTGATGCTAACACGACCAACTAGGATCGTGAGAATGTCGATGTTATCGCCCACGAGCTCGCGCACAGCTGGAGCGGCAATCTTGTGACCAATGCCTCTTGGGAGCATTTTTGGCTGAATGAGGGTTGGACTACATACCTTGAGAGGCGGGTTAGTCCCCCCCGGCCCTCCTTTCCAGTTGAAATGGTCAACCTGTATCCTCATGCTAACCATGATATAGATTCTAGCAGCTGTGTGAGTCTCAACATCGTGTCACGATAATCTTCCCTATCACTAATGCACCCAAAGGCATGGCGAATCGTATCGACATTTCTCCGCTATAATAGGTTGGAAAGCTCTCACTGACTCTGTGAATCATTTCGGACACAATCATGAGTTCACGAAATTGATCACGGATCTCAAAGGAAAGGATCCAGACGATGCTTTTTCAAGTATCCCGTACGAGAAAGGCTTCAATTTCTTGTTTCATGTGGAAACGCTTGTCGGGAAACAGAAGTTTGATAGCTTTATACCTCATGTATGTTTTGGATCTCGCGGAAGTACATTCACTGATTGGTCTTGGTTCTCTAGTACTTCACTGTGTTCAAAGGGAAGTCCCTTGACTCGTACGAGTTCAAAGCTACTCTAGTAGAGTTTTTCCGTTCCGATACGGAGGCATCCAAAGCTTTGGACACTCTTGATTGGGACACATGGTTCTATGCTCCTGGGCTACCCCCCAAGCCGCAGTTTGACACGTCACTTGTTGATGTTGTTTATGATCTCTCTCGCAAATGGCAGTCTCTTCCTGGATCCTCCTTTAAGCCCCAACCAGACGACATTAAGGGGTTGACAGCGAACCAGATCGTTGTCTTCTTGGAACAGATTCTTCTCTTTGAGCGTCCACTTGCCCCCGAACTATCGAAGACAATGGGCGATGTCTACGGGCTTGCTAAGAGCGAGAACATAGAGGTTGCCAATTTATACTTCCAAGTATGCCTCAAAGCCGGTGACGACAGTATTGTCGACTCAACGGCGGAGCTACTGGGCAGAATTGGCAGGATGAAGTTTGTGAGACCTTTGTAAGCGGCTTATGTGCCCTGTTTGTCCAATCGAAGTGCTGACCAAGCGACTAGGTATCGAAGTTTGCAAAAAGTTAATCGCCCAGTTGCAATTTCGACATTTGAGAAGTACCAAGACTTTTACCATCCGATATGCCGGGCCATGGTTGAGAAGGACCTCTTCGGAAAGAAGGCTATTTAAGACTGTAAGGGTTATACACTCCCTTGACAAGCTTTTCGTCTCCCGAGTCACTTGTTGCCCTCGTATTGTTGTACTTGAAAGGGGGATTTTCGTCTTGCAATAAACCCATACTTTGTAGTGGTTGAAGAACAGAGCTATCTAGGTCTAATAGTTGGTTCATGTAGCGATGCTTGCCAAGTCAAGTAATCGTATGATTCTCGCTGATGATAAAAGCTCGAGCCCAGCATATTATCACGATATAGATAGTGGCATGTATTAACCATAAAAGAGAGCTTAGTTTAACTACCATTCGACCATATTAGTCAGCGAGTACCATTCACCATGTTTCTGTCAATGTTAGAGCAGGTGAAAATGCCCGGTTTCCCGCTCTTTTGCCGTCCCAACTGAGTAATCAGATCGGCTTCATTCACCTGAGAGAGCTCAGAGAGCACTCTTCGCATATATGCGACGACATGAGCTATCTTTGACCAATCCAAATCTTTGGCGCCTGGTCCATTATGACTCGCCTTCCACAGATTCCTCCAGACGGCAGCTCCTAAAACGGCATCTCCTTTGACGAGGCCTTCGTCGTAGGCTGCTAGAACACCACGCCATTGGATGAAGAGATCCTTGAGGAATTTATTTCGAATAGCACGACCTGTCAAGCCATGAAGCACATCCATGCGGTGCTCTGCATCATGTGAAAAATGATCGATCAGGTGCTGGGAGTATGTCTGAAAACTGTCATGTGATGGCAGCGCGCGTAACCGGACCGTTAGAAGGTACATGTGAAGAAAAGTAACCTGTGACCACGTCGAAAATGTGGGAGCGAGACCCAGTTCTGCCAGCAGGCTCGTTAGTCTTGTACTTGTGGCACGGCCTTATCAAAGGAATGACTTTTACGCACCTTCATACCACCATCCCTGGCCTACTCCCAAGTCTTCGCCGGCCTCGGTCTTAGGGACTTGGGCCCCCTTCTGAGATAACTGAGGTATGCTATAGTCTGCCTGGGTGGAGCAGGCTTCAAATAGCTTTTGTGTCAAACCAAAAGCGATATAAGTTTCCGCCGCAGTCCCAGGACGTGGCGCGATCGCCCGAGCTAGCTGTGAAGAATTCCGACGACCCTGCTTACAAAAGGCATAATGTGATCGTTGCTGCTGAGCACTGTGACTGGCAGAACTAGACAGGACCGATGAGTAACATGGGTGCGAGGCTAAAGATGGTCGAAGCAATTGTTCGACTGTTTGCACCTATAATGATTGCGCGGTTAGATGGTGACATAGGAATTAACCAGAGGCCCGTTTGGCGTACCTGCGACATAGAACACTGCAATTTGGAAAGCCCTCGAAGCCAAAAGTTCATTGTGCTGGGGGGACTCATGATGGAGTGTAAATTCTTTAATATTCGCGCTGACTAGGTAGGTTGATGAGTGAATTATATTCCTAGAGAAATATTTTGATTGGGTAGTTTCCACAGTCGAGACGTTCTAGAAGGTATGCGGTCAATGATTGTTTGCACTGTTTGTTATCAAGCTGCGGCTTAATCACAGTCAATATAGTCTACATAGTAGTTAAATATATTATATATATATATGTATGTATGTATGTATGTATGTATGTATGTATGTATGTATGTAACCATGTATGTGAGATCTGATGGAACTATTAGATTCAACTAGTGTGCGATAAATCATCAAAGACATCCATAAAATCAGACAAAATGCAGACAACTTTGCCCATCACGATCTTCAAACTGGCGTTGGCTATCAGCAAAAGTGTCATTCTATACTGCCAGATTAAATTGCGAGTGACCTTTTTGATAGATATGGGACTCCGTCTCCATTGGAGTGATCGAGGCGTGTGTCTACTATGTACTGTGATTTTCTTCAGGAGTTGCAGTATTTTCTTGTGGAACAAAACAATACACAGCCACGTTGAATGAGTTTGGAACATCCCCACATACGCGAAATTTACTCCAGATCTATCATGTGGAGATCTGGAGAGGTCTCCAGACTATGCTCCCTGTAGCAGACTAGATTCTCGAGCGTCCTGAGGTTTGGCCACGATGAGCAAAATTGAGCCTCCGCTATACCAAGAATTTATTAGTCTTTAAGTGTGACTCTCTCCAAGCGCTTCTCAATAAGCGGGAGAATTTCGGAAAGTCTATTTGGATCTCTCATAACGGCTGGCACATCATCTCTGGTCGTTGCTAAGGTCTTCAGAGGAACGGTTAATTATGTTCGCCTCTCAGGCCGTTGTGGCTATATAAGACTAGAGGATACTGCAAACGTACCTGTCTGACAGTCTCATACCCACACTCCCTCGATTGATATTCTCTAATGATCTCCATTTCATCGAAGTCGACATAAATTCTCGTGTCACGAAGTCTAAACAGAACGTTGTCAAGTCTCATGAAGAACCTCGTAAGCAACAAAAGTCTTGAAGGCATAACCCTGATCTTGCAGGATAACATAGCAATGCCATTGTCGGCGAGTTCATCTTCATAAAGAATAACATCGTCGTAAAATAGTATAGGGTCCGGTCGCTTCAGGAGTTCGATTGGAATGGGCTTTGTTGTTGCTACAAATGCCCGACTACCAGGATTGACCGTACCCGCGTAGTCTGTAGTGTAGGACCAATCGAAGGGCTTGACAATTTCCTTGATTCCTTCATGGGTATTTTCTCTAACGGATGTCAGCCCACAATGAGTAAGATCGTCTCGATGTCGCAACTGCGGATTTCTCATTACCTGCTTTTCTGCCATTCTTTCGAGTAGGCAACCTTCAGCATCGATGCGCCAGTTTTGTCCACGCGGTCTAATGCGTCGAATGCGTTGAAGGCTATTCGCCATTGGGTCTGTTGATGTTCTATGGTAATGAAGTTGTCGCCAAAGATCATCTCCGGTGGTGCGATTCCTAGGTTCCTTGCCATATCTTCGATGGGATCCGCTTTAAGTATGGGCAGCTTTTGGGTAGTAATTTTAAAGCCCTTGACTGAAATCGAATTGGGCTTCAAAAGGCCAGACGACAGTGCGGTCGACGCCATATCTGCTGGTATCGTCTGACTACATGAAATCATACTGTGGGCTTGGTTAGCGAAGATCGGAAGAAGGGACAGGCGCATACTTTAATACCAGTAGTATAAAGTACGGAGTGATTATCCTCCAGATCATACCCCGCGGCGTCGGATAAAGAGGCGGTCCGATCAGTTGCTGGGGTGATGCGCTAGGGGGCAAGCCCCGATAAACATCCGAGCGTCGCTGGAGCTTATTACTTGGTGGCTGTTCCATAACTTCCCCGAGTCTCTTTCCTAGTATACCTCCAATGTCCTGGTCATTGTCCCGAAACTGATGATGTCTCTTTAGAGGTGTGAGATTTCTCTTTATTGTTAACCACCTACTTGTTTTTGCATTCAGCACCGTTGCTACAATCTTCCTCATGGCCTCCAAGACACTCGAAGCGCGGCTTGAGCGCCTCTCTGTCAAAGATGAGAACGACACCGGGCACAGTTGCAATGGCTATTCAAAGTCAAAGGTATGGGCCCGACATGAATTCTTCTGTAGAGGGCCTGCCTGCTGATGTTATCCATCAGAGTTCCCTCTCTACAACCATGTCTCTTTCAGGCCTGGGAGCTTCTGGGCAATTTAACGCCTCCAGCCGATCTAACCTGCTAAAACTTGCTCTGCAAAATACGAATGATAGCAAAGCTAATTCAATGAATGTTGGTCAATCCCCTACAAAAGGTTCCCATAATACCCTGCCGAGTCGCAACCTAGACGAAAATGGGGAACAACGCCACCCAACACCACTCTATGAACAACCGGCACTAAAGAAATTACACCTTGGAATGTTTGAAATTGGGAAGCCTTTAGGAAAGGGCAAATTTGGCCGAGTTTATTTGGCTAAAGAACGGTCTTCCGGCTTTGTGTGCGCCCTCAAAGTCCTGCACAAATCCGAGTTGCAGCAAGGTGGAGTACAAAAGCAAGTTCGGCGAGAGATTGAAATACAGAGCAATTTGCGTCATCCAAATGTTCTAAGGCTCTATGGCCATTTCCATGACAGCAAACGGATCTTTTTGATTCTCGAATTTGCCGGTCGGGGGGAGCTGTACAAACACCTCCGCAAGGAACATCGATTTCCTGAATGGAAGGCTGCCCAATACATTGCTCAAATGGCCGCTGCTCTGAAATATCTCCATAAGAAGCATGTCATGCACCGTGATATCAAACCTGAGAATATCCTTGTCGGTATTCATGGCGAAATCAAAATCAGTGATTTCGGCTGGAGTGTTCATGCGCCCAACAACAGAAGACAAACAATGTGTGGAACCTTGGATTACTTGCCCCCCGAGATGCTGAAGCCTGGCTCTCAAGATAATTATTACAATGAGAAAGTCGACCTGTGGAGTTTGGGCGTCTTAACCTATGAGTTTCTTGTTGGAGAGGCCCCTTTTGAAGATACCCCTGTGATGACACAACGACGGATTGCAAGAGCCGATATGGCAGTTCCATCATTTGTCAGTGCTGAGGCAAGAGATCTCATTAAAAGGGTATGTTTTGCTTTGATGCTCCAGACCAAGCACATGACTAACATTAGACAGCTTCTTGTTCTTGACCCGGAAAAGCGAATCTCACTTGATGAAATACAGCGACATCCCTGGATCCTGAAACACTGTGTTAAAGAAGATCGAATTATGAAACGGAGTTCTGGTTCATCATCCAAGGAATCTAAGCCATGATGCGGTTTCCATGCATTGCAGGCGCATTTGGTGTTAAGAGGTGCACTCTATTCGCAAGTTCCTTCTGCCTAACATCCCCCCCCTTTTCAATGTGTACCTGTGTTTTTTTCAATATGGTATCTCGCCTAGATTCTTTCAACGCATGAGTTGAGTATTTCCGAGTTAATCCTTTGTGGTCCCCAGCCCTTCGTAGCACTAGGTTTATTGACTGGTGTCAATATATGTCTTTTCCACTTTATACGTTGAATATGATAGAGCTCAAACTCGTGTACCACAAGACAGGAGCATAGTCAACACCGTAACATCATCGATAAATCTCATCAAAGGGGCGGGTGTCTCTGAAACAGCTGTCCCAAACTTCATTCACCACCTTTTCCGCGTGGGCTTCATCCTTGCATCCTGGCCTTGCCTGTACTGACAACATAGCTCTTCTTCTTACACACTCTTGATGTTGTTGTGTAAAATTCCACTGGCCCCTCCGAAAAAACTCCCGTGCCCACCGGCATTCTCCACTAAGTGAACTTGCTCGAATCTGCACTTCGATTAATGAAAGCCTCAAAGTTTAATCAGCTATCGCAGACAGCGTAGCTGCTTACCTCGGTACAGGCTGCGTGTCTCAGATTGGTCGCCCAGTCAACCTTGAACCTCAGATGATCATACGCGTGGACCATCTCATGGGCCATTGTATCTTCCAAGTGTCCCTGGTCCTTCATTTCGTTTGCGCAAAGCAGAATACCAAATTCCGGATCGAACCCCCCCGCTTTTCGATTAGTGCATCGACGGCAATATACGTTATGGCTGGACAGGTCACCCCCAAGTTGTCGAATATTGTCGCTCAAATAACGGATTATTGGACCTTATGGGCGTAATTCTTAGTGGTAGTTCAAATCGGAGCAAAGGCCTCCCTTTCAGATACAGGGAAAGGAATTCCATACTAAACTGAAACAAAAAGTCTCGCTGGTCTTCGCATCGTTTGCAATCGGTGGCCTCATTTCGGATGTCTCGCGAAACGCGGAATTGTTCCTTCCCTTCATCTGTCATTTTCCCCGCAAGGATGGCGAAGATATTGCGCCATTGTGTCCAGGTATCGTTTCCCCGTATATATCCAGTATCTCGATTTTCGGGTACTTTACCGCTGTTGGAGGATTGGGAAGTCGACGACATCTTCGCCAGGAACTTTGGATAATCAAGGGGAGAGACAGAGTAGGTCGATTGTCTAGGCCAATTCCGCCGCCAGCTCCGCATTGGCGGTGAAGGGTATGTTGCGGCAAGAAATTCCCCGGAAAATCATATGTTGTTTGATCATCACTGCCAATTCTCAAGACAGCCGTGGGCGAGACGGAGACTAAATCCTGCAATATTAAAGCAAACCCTTGGAACAGATTGTCTTAAGGGCTGAATATCTGACTCGTTTGGATTTCACTTCGCGATGGTCTCTGAGCGCCTTACAGTCGTCATAAAACTAGGTGCGGCATTCAAGTGGCTTGGGCACCCAGAAATACTAATGCAAAGCTGCACCACGAATAGGGACCAGCTCTATAGTAGATGAGAATACTCATGAGCCTATACTATCTATACTTACCCTGATTGTCGAGACCGCCGCCAAACTTCACCGAGATGGCCATAATGTTGTTCTTGTGTCCTCTGGTGCTGTCGGTGTAGGATTACGAAGGATGGATGTTGATGAGAGGCCAAAATACCTACCTCGCATACAGGTACATATTGTACTATGGACTGCCTAGTTATGGCGACTAATTGCGAGATTCCAGGCGTTGGCTGCTGTCGGGCAGTGCAGACTGATGAGTCTTTGGGATGGACTATTCTCGCATCTTCGTCTCCCAGTGGCTCAGATACTGTTGACTAGGAATGACATTGCAGATGTGAGTTTTCCTCCACCCCCGAGGCTGTACGACGAGTCTGACTTGTATGCAGCGGACACAATATATCAATGCCCAAAATACATTTGCTCAATTGTTCGACATGGGTGTCATCCCGATAGTCAATGAGAATGACACCCTGGCTGTCTCGGTGAGTTTCTCTTCCAACCTGACCTTTTGTAAAAAAAACCCCTAACACCATCCCGAGGAAATTAAATTTGGCGACAATGATACACTTTCAGCAATAACAGCAGCTATGGTGAAAGCCGACTACCTTTTCTTGATGACAGATGTTGACTGCCTCTACACGGCTAACCCGCGTAACAACCCGGATGCGCAGCCTATCGAGGTTGTCACTGATATATCATCATTGGAAGCGGACGTCTCGTCCGCTGGCTCCTCCCTAGGAACAGGGGGGATGGGCACTAAGATCGTGGCTGCAAAGTTGGGCACTAGTGCGGGCGTGACAACCATTATTACCAAGAGCTCCAAACCGGGTAATATTCATGATATTGTTAATTACCTCCAGCAAACCAAACAGGCAATTCCGGCGCACTCGGTCACAGATGAGGGCGACCAATCGGCGAGCCAGTCAAACTTGCATCATCCGCCGCCCCTACACACACGATTCATTCCATCAGAAACTCCAATACAGTCCCGGTCCTTCTGGCTACTTCACGGTCTAAAACCACGTGGAACTATTTATATTGACAATGGAGCGTACAGTGCTCTTCAAAAAAAAGCCAGCCTCCTTCCCGCTGGCGTTCTAGGAGTAGACGGTCACTTCGCCCAACAGGAAGCGGTCCGACTCTTTGTCGTGGGGAAAGTTTCTCCTGATTCACTGAATGGTGATTTCCTTCATCATGGCCAAGAGCCGAAGGAGATTGGCCGTGCCCTTGTTAACTACGGCAGCAGTGAGATTATTCGTATCAAGGGCCATAGGAGCACCCAGATTCAGACTTTGCTCGGTTATGCAGATAGTGAATATGTTGCTCTTCGAGAGAACATTTCCCTGATAAGAAGCGATGAAAACACCCAACATTAAATAGAATTATTGGCAATTGATAGAAAATGATATCGAAGAGTATTTTACACACAGTATCTTAACGATCACCCCTATCATGTATTTTAGCCACATAATATTTCCTGGAATTGGTATTTCAACCATTCAGTAATAGGGTGGATGTAGATGGAAAAGGAGAGGCGAAATCGAAATGTCCCCGCGCCAAACAAGAATAAGAAACAGAAAAAGTGAATTCCTAGTCACTGCCATGAGGAACTTGGTAGCAGCCTCGCAAGTTAAGCGAACTGCCAAGGGTAATTAGAAGCCGACGGGGGCCAACCCACAAATAAAGGACTACATGAGACTAGGTATACAGACATTCCACAGGCCAAAATGCCACACATAGGCCACTTACTAGGAATTCCAAATTGTTAGAATAAGGAACATGCTAAACTGGAAAGAAATGGCCAGGCATCTTTGAGGCAATGGATTGGAAGATCATCAATGCCTTGTAAATGTCTGGGGGTCTTTGCAGTTATATATATATGTATGATTTAGTCCTTCCATCTTTCTAAGAACTGCTTCATCTGCACATCATGTGGATGGGGTGCCGGTGATGCCTTAGGGGTAGCCATGTTAATTAGCGTTTTCTTGTACTGATGGGTGACAAAAATAGATGAAGACAGGGGAAAGCTGAAATCTGGTATACTCACGGTGTTCTCTATGCTGGCTACAGAGTAGGTCAAAGAGGCGGAGAGCGTAACTTGAACAGTAGCTGGAGGTAGATAAGTCGTAGCAATTGTATATGCACTTGCTGGAAATTGGGGTGTTGGTGACCTCGCAGGGATCGTACTCTCAGGCTTCTTAGCCATAGGTGCGTATCTTGTAGGTCCGGTTTGCAGGTGATAAGGAATTGTGTAGCTCCCATCAACCTGCCTTTTCTGCAAGATTTCATGCTTATGATTGCCATCAAAAGAATCACCAGTATCATTATTGACTGAATAAATCCCCTGCAAAACTAATGGCGAGAATAAGCCAGTCATACTCGTAAGTGTGAAGCGATCTGAATAGTTAACAACCGAGATTCCAGGGCCAGAAGCGATCATCTTCAGAAAGCTAAAGAAATAGCACTTGTCAGCAATGGATGAAGCCTTTTAGGACCTTCATGAATTAATATAAGCCAAAAAGAACTTACTATGCATTAGCATCATTCCCACCCACATCTGCATTAATCCTAAACGAAACCGAGTCACCCTGTGCAAAAGCGGCATCTTTTATGAGGAGAACCAGGTCTTCCTGTGACACAGCCTTAGTATTAGTATAAACTCACCAGGCATGCGTGCTCTGCTCATATACATACATAGGATCCTGACATGTCTCCACCCGCACATAAATAAAGACTGTACTGTACAAGTTCAGACATTGGAGGTAATGTGCCAGAGTCTCTCCAACGAGCTGTGGCAATATCTCCAGCTTGGATGGCGGTGCCGGTTGCTGGAGAAATAAATTCCACACTGGCAAAACTAGCAGAGAGGATCGAAAGAACCAACAGCACCGCGCGCACGACTTTCATCTTGAAGAAACCTGGGAGGTTGTATCAAATAGAAATCATAGAAAGCTTGAAGGAAACGTGTCCGTGCATATGTCTATTTGATGACCAACAGATGGGGTCTATGGAGATGAGGCGAGACGGGCCAAGGGGACAAACAGTAGAGGGTAGGGGATTGCTGACACCCATCTGGTCCTGCCACCCCTTGCAATGCAGCGGCATGCTTGGAGCGGAAGTATACATAGGTTTCCCGATTGGGAATCAAGGCAGTCAGGCAGTCAGGCACTAAGGCACTAAATATGGCCTCACTGCATTATTATTATTCAAATAGTACTCCGTACTTTGTACGGCTGTACGGAGACAAGTTGTCCGGTGACCGTAAATAATCTCTGAGCAACCCTGGACTGCTCCACTACCTAGTACATCCTTCCTATGTACTGCATAGTATCTCGTTTGAAAGATAACAACTAGATAAAGCGCCTAGGCTGATTGGCATCCACGGATTGGCACCTTCATGAATGCTGTCGTCCAAACCATCTCCTAACTACGTGGTTATAACTCAGCCCAGCCATTCGCTTTTGGTGAATTGAAATTTCTTTTGCTGTTATAGCAACGGGCACATAATTGCTAGATGCGTTCTCAGGGGGACTGGTCATCCTTCGAGGGGATAGTGACTGGCCTGCTCGATGGCAACCCCATCGCTATTGCTGTCGCCGTCTTTATTGCCTTTGGGCTTCCTGTGCTGCTGCATCTGATATTCTACCGCGCGGTTGCATCCCCGCCGTCCAGCAATTTCTTACTCCTAGGCCCTGGTGGGGCTGGTAAGACTGCTCTTCTGACCCTCGTATGTATCGTCTCTTTTGTTTTTACACTCAATTATGCAACCCTCCTTGCAACATTGGCGTCCTGGTTTATTCTTTAGTTGATACTGTTGCTGATGATTCCATTGTTTGTGATAGTTGGAAGCCAAAACGTCTCTTACCCGGAAAGACTCTCGACTCACACATACGTCGCAAACGTCCACTGTAGCCATTGTCAACCTTCCCGCCTCAATTTCGACTGCCTCAAACCGTTACCGGTCTGTCAATGATTCGTCCTTGCAGGACATTTCCAAGAACCCAGTCAAGTACCGCTTGACGGATACCCCAGGTCATGGGAAATTGCGGGGGTCTCAGGGACTTACGACCCTTTTATCTATGTCGACCACAAATGATGTAAAGTCCCGACTGCGTGCCGTTCTATTCATGGTAGACACAGCAGCCCTTTCCGAGACCGAGACACTGCGAGACACAGCCTCTTATCTTCATGACGTGCTTTTGATTCTCCAAAATCGTGCTCTTAAAAAGGGAAAATCCCCAATGAAAACAGCTTCGGAGATTCCCGTGCTTGTGGCCGCCAACAAGCAAGATCTTTTCACTGCCTTGCCGCCTGCCTCAGTGCGCGAAAAGCTGGAAACCGAGATTGACAGGATTCGAAAGTCCAGGAGTAAGGGCCTGATGGAAGCTAGTGTCGATGCCGGAGTTGATGAAGATGAGGAGGATATGCTGGGCAGTAATGACGCACGACATAGCTTTTCGTTTGGGAGCTTGGAAAAGGATATCGGGTTGGTTGTTGACGTTGTCGGCGGCGCAGTTAAGGGTGATGAGAAGGGAAATTTTGAGTCTGGTGTGAGGAAATGGGAGGAATGGATCGGACAGTGCCTGTGATTAACGACACTAGATTTTGGCCGGGGTTACTACCAGTGCCCCTATACGTGCAGTGAGTCGGAATAGTACCGGGAATGTCTTGCAATATGATCCTACGCTGTCCACAATTTCCGACTCCCATACAAGGAAAAGGGACGAAGAAAGCTCTGAGACAATGAGCTGGTGAAATGCTTGACTGAAAGATGACTCGGGTATAGTTTGAAACTATCTCTCCCATCTTCAGGTGCAATTACAAGGAGCTCCTCCGTTCATCCAGTCCTCTCCAAAGTAGATGAATCTGTCGTGAGTGGATCACCAAGGTTCTAGGCCAATATGAATGAACCTCCGACTACCCCGGCACAAAGGTTTATCCAGTGTGCCAATCAGACGTACTGATGATTATATCCTCTTTCCCTGGTCATGGTTTTCGCCGGATTGTATTGAATGAACTGCCTAGACCCTTTGGTATTTCTCGCTCAAGTAGTCGTAATGACTGTAATACCATGTATCTTTTGCCACAATGTATTTGTCATGGATTCGAGGAAGGACAAGGATCCTGTCTACATCTTGCTCCAGGCCTAAGCGGCGATCTCTGGATATATCTCTCAATATAAACCCTGCTTCACGGCCAGGTACTAGACATGGGAGTCACAAATGGCCGCCAAGCGGGCTTACACATAATAAAATTGGCAGCGTAGGTAACATGTATCGCGTTGTCTCATTCTCGCAAATACTATGGTCTCTTTGGGTCCTCACTCCAAGACGCGCCGGTCAAAACAATGGCCAGGCAAAGGCGTCGGTGGGCCACGCAGAGGGCTGGTCCTCTTAGGTGAACATGCCCCTGTTTCTCGAATGATCGATTATATTTAGGTCCAAGGGCCTGGCCGTAGCGCTCTGATTTTCCGTGATCCCGCATCTGGGACGGCCAACAAAGACTGACCAAAAGGAACCAAATTGGATCAAATGAAAAAAGATATGGAATGCATTCAATGCGAATGATCGTGCTATTAATTATCCGGTGCGCCATTCTTGCTATTGCGGAGCATCCAGGTAAGTAGGTCGACCTTCGTCGCAACCGCAACCGGCTTCATTGCCCCAAGCTCATCCCTTTCTGTGACGACTGCTGCGCTATTCCATTCAAGGAAACGATTCAGGGTACTCAGAGATGTATCCATGGTGATTTCAACAAACTTCCGATTCCTGATATGGGGGTTCGCGTCCCCGCGCCCAGAAATGGCCAGCCCCATGTCTCTAGGATCAGTAACAATTTCGGGAATTTTGCCGAAATTAAACATAACACCCCCAACAGGGCTTCTTCCATTAGCACGTCCGTGAGTCAGTCGGCTGAGAATATTTCCGAGTGTGACAAGCCCAACAAGCTTCTTCCCAGACGCTGACAATACCGGGAGCTGATCGAATCCCTTATCTCGCATCATCTCAATGGCAGTCTCACAAGGAATATCAGATCGAACTGTTGTTATCGGTTTCAATCTCAGGCTCTTGACTTCAGAGTTATCGAAGTCATCGTGCTGGCCCTGCGGCTGTAATGTTGAGGAAAATGGGGCAACTTCAGTAGGTGTCGATGAGAGAAGTCCATTTGCAGCAAGCCAGTCATCATCAGCAAACTAAGTCAAATCAGGATATTAGTTCAATTACCCGAAAACTAACGATCGCATTACCTTAGTAAGATAACTTCTGATGCTGTCAGGTAGAATCACGACAATGACATCATCTTTGTTGAAACTTTGGTCTTTCGCAGCTTGCGCCAACGCTGAAATGGCACTTCCACTACTCCCACCAACGAGAAGACCTTCTTCGGCGATCAATCGCCGAGCATATTGGAATGATTCCCTGTCGGCGGTTTTGTACCATTTGTCGACTGCCTGTCGGTCCAAGACCTGAGGGATGAAATCATATCCAATGCCCTCGACCTTGTAAGGCTCGTTGGCATACTCTTCATTCAATGCGGCGGGACAAGCTAGAATCGACCCTTGAGGATCTGCTGCAATGACTTGAACATTGGGGTTGTGCTTCTTAAGACCGCGAGCTAGCCCAGTGATTGTGCCACCAGTGCCCGCGCCGGCAATTATAGCTTTTACTCGCCCTTCAGTTTGGATCCAGATCTCTTCCGCGGTTCCGAACTCGTGAGCAAGTGGGTTGTTTTCGTTGGCGTACTGATCCAAGATATGCGCGTTTGGAAGTTCTTTCTCAAGCCGCTTGGCGACCCCGATGTGGGATTCTGGGGAATCGAATGCTGCTTCATTGGGCGTTCGAATGATGGTTGCGTTCAAAGCCCGCAAAACCGACACCTTCTCGGCAGACATCTTCTCTGGAAGAGTGATTATAGTCTTATAGCCTACCAAAAACGAAACCGAGGATTAGCCCACAACAGTCCGAGAAACAACCCCTGAATGTACACAGTACGAACCTTTGACGGCGGCAACCAGAGCGAGACCGATGCCGCTAGCAGGAGAAACCAGAAGTTAGGACCTTTTCTATGATCATTTTTGCGTGAACAGAAGAGAGACCAGAGGTCTGGATAGCGTACGTATTACCACTGGTAGGTTCGATAAGAGTGTCTCCGGGCTTGATCCGCCCAGATCGCTCGGCTTCCTCAATCATGCGTAAAGCGATCCGGTCCTTCACGCTCCCCCCGGCATTGAAGTATTCCAGTTTAGCGTAAACGGTGGCATCGATCCCCAGGCTGCGCGGAAGCTTGTTTAGCCTGACTAATGGGGTATTTCCGATGTGCTGAGTGATTGTATCCAGGGCCACAGGAGGGATGGCCGGTGCGGTAACTGTTGACATTGTAGTAATCGGACAAAGATAAAGCTGCTCTTTGTCTGACGAGGGGTTTCACGTGCAACTATCGGACGAAGCGAAGGATTTCCAAGCACCGTTGCGATTAGGTATTATCCCGAGAATCAGGTACAAAGGGGATGATGGCATCCAAGTGATTATGGACGAGGGGCAGAAAAGAGAGAAAAAAAAGGAAGGAGAGGAAAGGCACCAAAATCTGTCGTAACAGATTGGTGGCTTCCCTCCCTCTTCTACCCTCGAGGCCCCGACGATAGCCGGAAGAATAGTAATGCCATGCGCGCCACGTGATTTGGCCTCGTCTCACATATCCGTGGTCGTCAGGCCTGTTCTTAAAAATCAAGGGGTTACAGCTCGGCGTGGTCTGAAAAAAGCTCAGCGTGATCAAGCACTAAGTACAGAACTAATTAATATTAATGTTTAATATAGAATCTACTAGACTGCTGACTACTAGCTGCTAGTCAGAAAATAAAAAGAATGAATAATTAATAACTAATCTAATTAATATCTTATCTGGATTATACAGTAACTAAAAATATATTAATATTAATTAATCTAAAGTTATTAATCTTTTAATTATATTTAATTTTTTTAATCTGTAGCTAAGATTAGTTAAAATAATCTCTTAATCTTAATCTATTCTTAACTATATAATTAAAAATTTAAAAAATTTCCTATATCTTAATCTAATTATTAGATTATTATTAAGATTAGATTAAGATATAACAATTAGATATAACCACTCTAATAATTATATAAAAGTCTTAAAAAAAGATTATTAAAATTATTAACTATATTTAATTCGATATAAAAAATATTACTATAAGTTTTATTATTAATCTATTAAAAAATAAAGACTGTTTATATATTCTGATAGAGTGGCTAACAGCCAGGTCAGGTCAGGTTAATTAGAATTTTTATATCTAACCGCCAGATTATAATCAGATTAAGAAAATTTTTATATCTGACCGCGGTATAACTAAAAATCAGATAATTAATTATTTTAATTATTCTTAGTATTAAGATCTATCTGCTATATCTTTTTAAGCTCTAGTATAATTAAAATATATTTAGATTAAATAATTATTAATCTGGTTATCTTTATTATTATCTAAAAATATATAAAAAGAAGCTTTTTAAATTAAAAAAATATAATTAAAAAAGAAATTAATATCTTTTTTATTATTATTTATTAAAAATAATAAGAAAATTCTAGTTATATTAATAAAATTCAGCTTTTTATAAAATTATTATTTTTATAATAAAAAATATATATAAAAATATATAATTATTACTCTATTTTAGCTATATATCTTAATTATATTATAAAATACTAAAAAAACTATATATTAATTATTAATTAGAATATTAGAAATAAATATACTGCTTTTATTTTATTATTTTTTCTAAATTAAATTATTCTTAGATTTATAAATAAAATATAGCTCAAAGAGCTATTAATAAAATTAAAAACTAATAAATAATTAAGAAAATTATAGATAGTTAGATTATTAAAATAAAGCAGATTAAATAAATTAAATAAATTAAATAAATTAAATAAATTAAATAAATTAAATAAATTAAATAAATAAAATAGATAAATAAAATATACTAGATCTATATTATAATATTATAGTTTTTATAAAAAATTCTATAAAAATTTTTTATAAATTTTTTTTATAAATATTTATTTTTTATTCTAGTTTATTGTGATAGGATCTACTTGTCAGGGTAGAAAGCCTGTCGACTAGGTAAGGAATCAATTATGAAATATTGTGTATTTATTTGATAATAATAAAGATAGTCTATATTTATAAGATAGACTGATTCTTGAAGAATCAGTAGCTTCTTATAGAGAAATTAATATTTTATAAATATCAGAGAGATATAAAATTACTATTAATAATTTTATAACTCTTATAATTATTATAATATATTATCCCGATAATATAATTCTTATAATTACTATAATATATTATTCTGATAATCTTTATTCTGATAGCTGGATTATTTTATTATAAATAATATTCTTCTTTGCTGGAATAAGCTATCTGACTCGGGTATTAAAAATAGTTTTATATATTTTTAATTCAGAACAGTGGGAATTTAATAATAAAAAATAAAGAACTTGCGGGATATATAATATAAACAGAGTTATATACTATTTCTGTATAATTTTATAAGTATTTAGTTATATTTATATAGATAGATTTTCTGCGAAGAAGTATAAATAAAAAAATTTTTTATATTATTTCTCTTTTTTCTTCTCTTCTACTTTATAATTATTATTTCTTTAGTAATTTATAATTATTTTCTTTATATTTCTTTATTATTTCGTGTGATTTTTATTATTTTTATCTATACTATATTACTGTTATTCTCTTTTTTATTAAATATTAGTCTTATTCTTAATTATTTTGTAATAATAAAAAGAATAGTATATTTCAAGCAGAATATTTCTATTAAAATCTGCTATAACTTTTATATACACTATTTAAGATATATAAATAATAACTTTGATTTTAAGAAGAGTGCTTTGTATAATATTAGTTATCTATTAAATATAAAAATATCTGTTCTGTATTATTTCTATTTTATAAAAAAGAAAACTTATAATTCTATAAATTTTATATATTTTATATTATATATATATAATTTACTGATATCTCTCAAATCTGCAACTAATCTGCTAGAAAATACTTGTAATTTTATAAAAATTATTAAATAAGCTACTCTGATTCTGAAGAAAGAATATTAAAATAATAATATTAAGTAGACTATTCACAAAGAGATCTATATTCTTGCAAAAATATTTAACAGTATAAAGAATATCTATACTTATAAATTTTTATTAAAAAATATCAAGACTGCTAAGTATATAAGTTCTTATTATAATTAAAAGATAAGATCTTTATAATTCTATTATTAATATTTTATTAGAAGTTTATTATTAAGTATATTAAGTTTATTAAGATCTATTATATTTTTTTAATATAGTTAGTTTTTTATTCTAGTCTTTATATCTTACTGAAGAATTATTATATTTATAAAATAAAAATATTATTATATTTACTGTCTGATAATCTAGAATATATAGACTGGATTTCTACTCTGCAGAACTTTCTTAATTTAATAAGAGTTATAATATATATTTAATATCTAAATATTAATAATAATAAATCGACTTTGAATAATAAGAATAATATTATTAAATTAATCATAGATCTTTATATTCTTCTTCTAAAATTTATTTTTTCTATAAATATTTCTGAGTTATAATAAAAAGATCTGATTATTATTATTATTTATTTTATAAATAAATAATAAATATAACTAGATATATTTAAATATTCTCTGCTGTTTTATAGCAGAATAATTTTATATTTATTAGTATATTTAGTTTATAATAATATAGTTGATAAGAAATATCAAGAGATTGATATTTTTATAGCTTATCTTTTAAGAATATAGAGTAATTTATTAATAATTATCTTCTGTTTTTTTAATATATAGCACTTTTTATAATATTTTCAGTATTACTTTATAGCTTCGGATATATTTTTTATATTTTTATTAAAAATTTATTAATTATACTCACTTGACTATTTTTTTTACTTAATTAGATAATAATTCTAACTATTATAATATTAATAGTCTTTAATTTTTTTAATTTTCTATTTATTTTTATTATCTAGCTTAAATATTAAGAGTAATTCTTTATAATTTCTTTCAGTGTTTCACAGTTTTAATAAGAAGATATAGAATATATTATAAATTTGTTTATATTTCTCAGATAAATATAACTAATATATCTGAGATTTAATATATTTAAAAATTTAAAAGAGTTTTATAAACTTCGAAGTCAGCTTTCTTAATTTTTTAAGTTATAAGTTCTGAGTTAATAGCTTAACTAGATTTTTTTTTTTAAAGTAGAATAGCTTTCTATATTTATTATAGTATTTTTTTATTTTTTTATAACTATTTACTATATTTTTTATAGCTATTCTTTTATTTTTTTAAGTTTCTTAATTTTATTCTGTATTGCTGGGACTTCTCACTGCTAAGAATTAATCTTAATTTTAATATAAAAATTTAGTAAAAAGCTATAAAAAATATTATAAGATAATTAATCTATAATTATATTATTTATATTATTACAGATAAATTAAGCACTTAAAAAAATTAATAATTAATTAATATTATACTGACTGGAGTAGTATCAAAGATAATATTTAAATATTTAATTTATTTATTCTATTTGACTATTAATTTAAGAGTAGAATACAGTCAAAAGCTTCAAGATTATATAATTATTATAGACTAAATTTAATTAGAATTTGCTGATAAAGATTAATTCTTAATTAGATATAATTCTATTTAAAAATCCGAAGATTAATTTAATCTATTTATAAAATAGTTTGATAAAATCTGGAATAGTTATTGTAAACAGAACAGTAAAGAAAAGATAGTATTTTAAGAATTAATTAATAATAATTAGAATAATATTAATAGTCTTTTTATATTAGATAATAGAAAGCAGCCCTGTAATAAAATTTATTATTAATTTAATAAAGAAATATAATAGAATTAATAATAATTTAAGACTATTATATAATTAATACTTTGAAGCAGTGATTTCTTGATATATTAAATAAATTTAAATATATTTAATTATATTATACTATAATCTATTTTAATAAAATTTTTTATATAGTAATACTTCTGTTCAGATCTTTTCAAAGTATTTTACTAATAAATTATTATAATATAGCTTAATAAGTATCTGATATAATGTCTCAAAAAAGAGAATATAGTATTAATCTTTAAAATAGATATAACTAATTATTTTAATAGTTTAATATTTTTAATCTAATTATTTTTATTAAATAGTAGTTTTTTATTATTATATCTCTGGATTATTATTTTATAAATATAAGATTATTTCTTAAAGTTTAGAATTATATATATTCAAGTATAAAATTTCTACGGCACACACTTGTAATACTGTAAATTAAAGAATAAATCTTTTTTAAGATAAGTTCTTTCAAGCAGTCTAGTCAGCTGTCTCTATATTAGCTTAATTATTAGAATTTTTTAAGCTTAATATAATACAGATATTAAATTTAGAGTAATTTTATATATCTTAAGATTTAAACTAGATTTTTTTTTTAATAAGATCTTTTATTATCAGAGATAATATACCCACAAATCATGCTTAAATTAGAATTAATAATTTCTCTTAAAAAGTAGATTTTATTTAAAATCTAGAAAATATTCTAAAAAATCTATCTACTAAATTTAATTTCTCTGTTTTATATTTAATAATAAAATTATAAAGAATTAGATTTATAAGTTATCAAGCTTGTCTTTTATTAATCTAGATTTAATATATAAAAGATTGCAAGTTTAAATAGTCTGATAGAATCTTAATTATTTAAGAAATATTTTTTAAATATTATTACTATTATTTAAAAAATAAATAATAATAAATAGCTCTTAATCTAAAATACTATAGTTTAATTTAATATCAGAGAACTTATAAGATTAGAATATAACTAAATAAAATATATTTTTAATATTAGATTAGAATAAAATATTACTTATTTTTTTTTTTAATATATTAGTTTCTAAACAGCGGGGTTTTGTAGAATTAAAATATATTAATAAAAATATTTATTAAAAGGCAGTAATAAGACAGTAAAAAGTAATTTATTTAATTAAGATTAAATAAATCTTTTCTGGCTTCCGCCTGTTAATTATTTTATAAAGTAAAGAAGTAAGAGACAAGATAATATAAGAATAATCTTAAATAAATTATTAATAAAAATTACAAAATCTAAGAAAGATCTGGATATTATAATAATTTTCAGAAATTAATTATAAAATAATATTATTTATCTATTAAGAATTTATAAATACTCTGTCAGAGTTAATAATATATTCTAGAAATTTAACTTAGAATTAATAAAATAAATATTTTAATAGTTTTATATAGAGCTGAGCTTCTCAAAGTCTTTTTAAAACTTAATAAATATACTTTGTATAAAATTTCTTATCTAATAAAAAAATAAGAATATTATTTAGATATACTATACAAAAATTATTAAGAAGTTCTTAAAGTATAGTATATATATAGTTTTAAAAAATTGCTGAAATATTAATTAATTTAAATAATATAATTATATATTTAAAGTGGCTGTATTAGATATAAAATACTATCTTTTATTTATTATCTTTCTTAATACAGATTTAATAGTATATATTCTTAATATTAATCTTTGAAAAGTAGATACTTCCCGAAATTCTGTTAAGAATCTCTGAAATAAGAGATAAAAAATAATAATTCTTAATAGAAATCTTATTAAGATCTCTGTAGTCTATATAAAGATATAAATTATTATTTTTCTTAGATATAAAAAAAATAAAGACTTTAGCAGGGCTCTTTGAAGATTAAATTTAATCTAGTTTTAGATTTTCTTTAATATATTCTTATAGAATCTTAAGTTTGGCTTTAAATAAGAGATATATTAAACTATAAAAGAATATTTTATTAAATTTAATATTAATAGTATAATCTGCAGGGCTATAAGAAGATAGCTATTAAAAAAAATTTATAAAAAATATATCTTAAAACTGCTTGAGTTTAATAGAAATTATCTTAAAATTTAATAATAAATCACAAGATTCTTCTTCTAATAATTAGATATCTTTAGAAAGCTTAATAATAATATATACTCTTGCTGAATTTCGAGTTGCTTTAATAAATTAAGTAATAGAAAATAGTAAAATAAATAATATATTAAATTATTATTAGCGGTTTTATATTAATAAGATAATATATAGATTATAAAGTATAATTATTAAAAATAGTATAAAACTGTCTTTTAATCAGAGATTCTAATTAATCTTTATATAATACTATTTAAAAATATAGATATCTTCTTATAAATTAATAATAATAATAGGGACTTTCTATATATTATAAATAAAAATAATAATTTAATTAATAGCTTTAATCTTTGGCGCAGTAATCAGAATATATTAGAGATTATAGACTTTAATAAACTAATAATTAATAATATCTACTTCGGCGCAGCTATTTAAATCTGCAAAGATTTCAAGACTATTTCAGATATAAATAAAAATATAAAAATAATATATAATTTTTACTGTAAATAAAAAAATTAAAATTATAAAATTTATTTTAACTTCTTTACTTTTCTCTCTAAATTTAATAAGAATTAATAAGTTCTAATAAATTAAATTTTTTTATTTTTAATAGAATATCAATTTGCAAGATATTAGATATTTTTATATATAAAATATTATAATTAATTATTATTTTTTCTGATAGAGTTTTTTCTGTGATTCAGAATATCTTTTTTAATAATTTTATTAATAATTTCTTAGAAGCGCTTATATAACTTATAATTACTAAATTAATTATTATTTTACTTATGTTTTTCTCTATTTTTCTATAATTTATAATAATAAGTAATAATAGTTATTATTTTATCTTGCTTCTCTGATAGATAGAGAATATATTTTTAAATATAATAATTTAAATCTGATAGTAGCTTAGCAAAGTAGAATAAAATTTTTTTTTTTTTTACTTAATAAGAAAAATATTGCTTTAAAATATTAAAATAAATATAAGACTCTCGCGGATTCTAACTATATTACTAATAAGTTTATTTAAATTAAGCTATAGTATTTAATTAAAGAATA